AGCCATAGAGATGCTCTGGCTGCTACCAGAGTGTCTCTGTGGCAAACCCAGCGTTTGGTTGCCTGCCCCACTTTTTTTCTCTGCATTTTTTTTTGACCCCATATCCAGGGGTCTAACATTTTCTGTTTCCTGCACATGCCTCTTGCAGCGACTCAAAGGGCTTTGAGACACTGTAAGATGCATGTGCACGCTCGTCTGGATGCACCCCATGTCACTGGGTAGCTCCAGAAGGGATTGTGCAACCGTGTGGTACAAATTCCACCCTGCAGAGTACCTCATTTGTTCTGGTGAACACTAGGCAGTGCATCGAGGGAATCAGTTCTGGTCTGTCCCTTGTCCTGAGTGAGGGAGTAAAGCCTCCCAGATGAGAACATGAATGCTGCTTGTTCTACCTTCAGCCACACCTGAACCTAGCAGAGCAGATAGCACAGAGGAGTTTTGAAGGTGCACCTGGGTGCTGTTTTCAGAGGGTAAACTCACACATTACACAGACCATTCTAAGGACACTTAAAGAGTGAGCATCCATACAGTAAAGCTCATTAACTCATTGCTAAGTACCCTCTAAGCATCTCAAAGTTACACCACTTCAGTTGAGGGTTAACTCTGAGCCATGCTACCTTGCTCATGTTAGGGTGACTTCAGTCTGCTCCAGAGATAAAATGAACAATTTGTAGCCCTCCAGCATCCCAGAATGCATTGCTTTCAGCCCTCCTCTCACCCAGAGCAGGTATCCTGGCTCCTACCCACATGCCTTCTTGCTAGCCTTCTAAGTGGCAAGTAAGAGCTGTACGGGCAAGAAACAGTATTAACCCTTAATGTGCAACTGCTCACAGCACGTTCTAACTTACCATTGCTTAACATTCGACATATTTAGTAAGGTCTGAGTGTAATGTATAACTTTACCCAGCAATAGACTGCCTGAGGGTGGCTCTGAAGCACCTACATTCCTTTATACCCACTGTAAGGTCATTGACAAAGGATTTGAACTTGAGCAACTCTGGTTAACAAACTAACTCAGACAAATCAAATA